AGGAACACGGAGAGCTCAGAGCATGGTGCTGAGAACGGCAAGGTTGCAGGTTTGATCCCTGTACAGGACAGCTGCATATTCCTTCCTTGTAGGGGGTTGGACTAGATGATCCTCAGGCTCCCTTCTAATTCTCTGTCCGCTTTCTCCATTCCGTGCATAACATTACACATCTCCATCATTTGCCTTTTCTCACAGCTGCTACAAGCTGGGTCAACATCTTCACCAAACTATCTGCTATGGCTGCAAAGTCTCATCCCTGGTCACTTACCACCAATTTAGGATTCATGAGGTTATACGTGATTTTATTTTTATTTATCACCCCCAAATCACTCTACACTTGATTACTTTGAACTTCATTGGCCATTTTAATGCCCATTCACTCAGTTTGGAGCAGGAGTGCCAACTTGAATAAAATATTGGGGAAGGCCAGGTATGCCCCTCCCCATATTATCAACCACAAGAAGTAGTACACAGACACACTCCATTTTAATTGCAATGCTCATCACCTTTGGGGGTTTCTGGCCCCCTCAAATATTTTATTAGTGGGGTCAATGGGACCTCGGCCCCTAGGAGCTGGTTCTATGGTTTGGAGAAATCCTTTTGGAGCTTTTCACAACCGCTTTTTGCCAACGTGAAAAATTGTCAAACTTGACCCCAGTTCAGTCCTTGGACATGTTAATGATTAACAGGTTGAGTTTAAGGGCTCGTTTCTCAAATAACTGATTGTGAAAACTGTAAATTCAAGTACCGGTACACTGTGAACCGGTATGTAAACTGTTCAAAATTCTGAAGTTTATTTATGTTGGGTGCTTTTAGGATTGTGAACTGGGATAACTAACGAACCTTTTGGGCCCAAGGTTGCAGTCATGCTTAGCAAACCCTTTGAGAGCTGCATGCCAATGCTGAGATGGTCCCAAACTCAGTATGGATCCATACAGATGTAAGAGTTGAAAAGGGGAGCTATCCCTTTTCCTGGTTCATCAAATAAATTAACTGATGACCGAGGAGAGGGCAATTTACATCCAATTTGCAGCTGTCCAAATTGGCGGTGTTGCAGGGAGAAAGATAATAGCTGTTTGGGCTGGATCATGTCCCTGGCCTAAGAATTTACCACTGCTAGTTTAAAATATATTGCTCTTGAGGAATCAGAATGACTCATGGTGGAATATATATACAGTGGTACCTTGGGTTACAAACACCTCAGGTTACAAACACTTCAGGTTACAGATTCCACTAACCCGGAAGTAATACCTCGGGTTAAGAGCTTTGCCCCAGGATGAGAACAGAAATCACGCGGTGGCACGGCGCGGCGGCAGCAGGAGGCTCCATTAGCTAAAGTGGTACCTCAGGTTAAGAACGGTTTCAGGTTAAGAACGGACCTCCGGAATGAATTAAGTTCGTAACCAGAGGTACCACTGTACAGTATATGGAAATTTTATATATATATGTGTGTGTATATATATATATATATATATATAATCTGAAAGCACTTTCATTCTTTCTTAAAAATCAGTTTCCCACAAATATATCATTTCCATCGCTTGATAAAATTCTGCTTTGCAAGCTGGAACATTTTGAAAACCAAAAATTTACATTTTTTTTCAGCAACAGAAACTACAGCTCCCACAAAAACAAACAAACAACAACCTAAAAGGGGTGGGAAGACAAAAAGATTTTCACATGTTTGCAGGAAGCAATTGGGATTTGTTTAAATGCTGTTTGTCACCGAAGCCAATTGACAGTTATTATCATATATCAGAATTCAAATTCCTTTCCTTTCAGATCAGTTGCGGTTTGCTGATCAAAGTGAAAATCCTGATACCCCCCCACCTCATGAACTCTTACATCATCATCAGACCTTGCATCAAAGAGTGAATCGGAATATTCCATGAAGGATTTGTCCAGAGTTTGTTGTAAAGGCCATAGGGATGTAGCAATTTCAACACTCACAACTTTCTGTGTAACTCTGTTTCCTAATCTGTGCTGCTGCGGGAGGTTTAGGATAAGGCAGACATGACCCTCTGCCAGTAGATGAAGCATTTAAAAACTTCCCTGTACAGGGCTGCCTTCAGACGTCTTCTAAAACTTATATAGTTACTTATCCCTTTGATTCAGGGATTGCAGATCTCCATACACTCCAACATTTCTCCAATGAAAATAGGGATATCCTAAGGAAAAGCGGGACATTCCCGGATCAAATAAAAAACCAGCACAGCTTCTGTAAATGAAGGACTGTCCCTGGAAAATAGGAGTGTCTGAGTGTCTGGGGAACACTGTACAATTCTCTGGGCTTTCACATATTTTACAATGTTTTACAATGAGGTCAGTTTTAAAAAAGAAGTTCAGCCTTGGCTTTCCTCTTTCTGTCTATTCATCCATATCTGAGAAACGATAGTTAAAGAAAAGAGAAGTCTTAAGGGTAACATCAAATACTAACGGAAAATTAATTGACTATTTATTTATGTGTTGGAACAGTATGCGCAGTAAAACCTCTCCAACTTCTTTTAAAATAGCCTTGGTCGCAAATGCCCTTCTGTAGCTTGAATCTAGGCTGTTGCAAAAGGGGACTTTTGAAGTTAAGCATGTTCTTATGCACATTCTTGCACAATCCGATTGCTCTTTAGATCTCCTCGTTTAAAAGTAGTTAAGATGTTACGGTTTTGTTATGCTTATAGCATTCTCCTTTAAAACTATGGCTATCTCCTGCTGTCAAAAACATTCAGGAGAATAATAATAATAATAAATTTATCCGCCCAACAGGGTATTAAAAACACAATAAAACATCAAACATTAAAAGCTTCCCTAAACAGCCTTCAGATGTCTTCTAAAAGTCATATAGTTTGTTCCCTTGACATCTGATGGCAGGGCGTTCCACAAGGTGGGTGCCACTACCGAGAAGGCCCTCTGCCTGGTACCCTGTAATCTCACTTCTCACAGTAAGGGAACCGCCAGAAGGCCCTCGGCACTGGACCTCATTGTCTGGGCTGAAAGAGTGGGATGGAGATGCTGCTTCAGGTATACTGGGCCTTCCTGCCCAACCATCTACCAGTTTCAAAGTTGGAGACAAGCACGTTTAAAAATTTGCTTTGGTCTTTCACAAGTGCACAACAGCAACAGACAAAATAATAAGAGGCATGTCTAGATCTAAGGTGCCCTCAATAACACAGAGTGTGGGATTGTTTCTTCCTAACTGTAGTTAGGGAGAAAAGCAAGGGAGTGATTTCAACGTTTGCAACTTGTGAGAATGTAAATAGCTCAGAAGCAAATTGGTTTACGCAGAAACAACAAGGGATCCGAATCCATCTACCTGCATTTGTGATTGCCCAACGGATATAGAATTGACTAACACCCGAGAATACAGCATGCCCCTGCATTTACTGAATTGTCCTTGTTCTTCCCACGGCGTGAGCTACTTACCGGTCTCAGCACCCGTAGGACTTCTTTCATAACTTGCTCTGGGCTCTTCACAGAGCATAGCACCAGCGTTGAAACCACCACATCCACCGATGCAGCTGGTACCTGGTGCAGGTCCTCAGCTGGAGCCACCAAACAGCGTTCCACCTGCACATGTGGATTTTCAGCCACGCTCTTGTTGAGAAACTTCTGGAAGTTGGGGTTCGGATCAGTGCATATGATTTTGCATCCCGCGGGGTAGAACTGAAAGTTGGAGCCAGTTCCCGCACCAATCTCCAACAGTGTGAGGGCCCCGGTGGGACTGGCAAAGTCCTTCAGGTTGCTGAACATTTCCTTTTTCTTGTCAGACATGTGCTTATTATAACAGATGGTCACCACAGCCATGAGGTAGGGGAATAACTTCTTGCAAAGGGGTTCCCAGATACCCAGATACCATAGCAAGTAAGCAGGGAAGGCTAATATCTGGACGCAGAACCTGAGCAGGACAACTAGGCATGTTGCTTCCATGTTAGCAGGAGGGCAGAAAACAGCAAAGTCAGAGGAGAAGAGAAAGTCAGTCGCAGAGTCTCGAGGGTGGGGCTTGTTTTTATCTGCAGCTTCCAGTCCTAAATAACTAGCCAGTTAAAACGAAGCAACCAAGTTCCAGGAATAGCTTGATATATGTTAAAGGTACAGCTGCCAGAGCCCTTGGCAGTGACCACACTGGCTGCGAGATCTCAAAGGGTGGAGAGGAATATTCTTCATAAACTAAACACACTCACACACACACACACACACACACACACACACTCACCAATAACCTTGTGTGTGCACGCACTCGTAATCTTGCCCCTGTCAGAGGGAATTTAAAAACTGCATTTGCTGTATTTAAGTTCCCTGTCAGAAGGAACTTAAAAACTGTATTTGCTGTCTTTAAGAGGGAAATAATCTCATTTAGGGGGTATTCTAACACTTTATTGCAGCATTGTACTCTGCGGTCCTAAGGGCCGGATTTACATATAAGCTAAACAAGTTATAGCTTAGGGCCCCACTGTCTTGGAGCCCCCCCCCCCATTTGAAGGAAACAAAACTTGTACATTTCCAAAATATAAGATAAAAAACAAATAAAACAAAACATACATACACCAACACTGTTTTGTGTTGTGTAGGCTTTAAGTGCAGGGAAGGGACTCCGTGGGTTTCAGGAAAGGTCTCTGTTAGCACCGCACTGGCAGCACCTGCGATAGGAACCTCTCAACCATCTTCCAAATTAAAAGGAAATTCTGTTTAAGGTAATCGACAATGGTGTGGTGTAGTGGTTAAGAGCAGTGGACTCATAATCTGGTGAACTGGGTTTGTTACCCCGCTCTTCCACATGCAGCTGCTGGGTGACCTTGGGCTAGTCACACTTCTCTGAAGTCTCTCAGCCTCACTCACCTTACAGAGTGTTTGTTGTGGGGGAGGAAGGGAAAGGAGATTGTTAGCCACTTGGAGACTCCTTAAGGGGAGTGAAAGTCGGGATATCAAGTCCAAACTCCTCTTCTTCTGATATCCCAACCTCCATGGGGACCAGATGCTTCCAGGGAGAATAGTTATGGTAGTTCATGCATGCTCACGTGTAAGTGAATGAGGCAAGCCCAAGCTATGTGTTATGGCAACATTCACATCTGCATGGGAGCAGCTGGATTGTGGAAAGTGAAGGTAGCTGGACAGTCTGTCAAGTGGAAATAAAAAATGGATTGGCGATAACATACATGTGTGTGCATCCAATTATAGATTGCACAAGAGGTTCACAGGCCATAGGTGACATAGTGATGGGTTGTCCTATAATTCTTACGGTTAGGTTCTACACCCCAACCCAGAGACACCTGCATGGAGATTTTGTTCAGTAATTTATTTCCAAGCTACTTTACAGCATAACCTATGATATGCGGCTTATTAGGTTGCCATTTTAAAGGGACATGTATGTGTTGCAGCTTCAGCTCTGAGAAGCCAGCTTTTTCCAGGTCGTTCCAGGTTTCTCTGGCCAAGTGGCACCCGTCAAACAGACATATCCAAACTGGATCATAGATCTGCTGCCAGAAAAGAGTCCAGCTGGAAGGAGCACCTGCAACGTGTTCTAGGAAGTAGTAAGCGCCACCCTGGAGAAACAGAAATGAATGCATATAAGTTACTTTCTATTCTCCTTTGGAGTTCCTCAGATATTCCTTTGCACAATCAGCGCTAATGGTATCAGAGTGCTGTTGATTTTTCATGGCAACAGCCACTGTTCCCCTGAATTCTGTACTGAATCTTCCCACATTCAGCTGCATTGGATGGCTTTGGGGTTCTAGTCTTATGAGAGGAACACGGAAAGCTCAGTGGGTTAGAGTGTGGTGCTGAGAATGCCAAGGTTGCAGGTTTGATCCCTGTACGGAACAGCTGCATACTCCTGCCTTGTAGGGGGTTGGACTAGATGATCTCCAGGCTCCCTTCTAATTCTAAAATTCTATGATTTCTCTGTCCGCTTTCTCCATTCCGAGCATAATATTACACATCTCCATCATTTGCCTTTTCTCACAGCTGCTACAAGCTGGGTCAACATCTTCACCAACATCTTCATAGGCCATTTTAATGCCCATTCGCTCAGTTTGGAGCAGGAGTGGCAACTTGAATAAAATATTGGGGAAGGCCAGGTATGCCCCTCCCCATATAATCAACCACAAGAAGTAGTAAACAGACACACTCCATTTTAATCGTATTGCCCATCACCTTTGGGGGTTCCTGGCCCCCTCAAATATTTTATTAGTGGGGTCAATGGGACCTCGGCCCCTAGGAGCTGGTTCTATGGTTTGGAGAAATCCTTTTGGAGCTTTTCACCACCCCTTTTTGCCAACGTGAAATTTTTTTTTATGTATGTTGAAAGCAGCCCAGAGTGGTTGGGGCAACCAATAATACAATTGCTGCTGCTGCTGTTTAATAGGATGTCCCTATTTTCATCATATAATGTTGGAGGGTATGAGATCTGTCACTAGAGTCAGTTAACAGCTTAGCCAAGGGTGATTTTGAGTTTGCCCCCGACTTTGCCAGTTTCATTGGTAAGCAGAGATGGAAGATGTCAAGGAAATCTCAGTGGGTGAAACAGATACATTTTACTCACTATACTTCGAAAGGAAAGAGAGGCTATAATGTGTTTAAAAAGCCATTCGCAAACATGAATCATTCTATTTTGATTTTTTTAAAAAAAGGCAGGTGGGGATAGACACAAAACAAATGCAGAGAGGCTGAAATGTGAGGAGGAGGAATAATAATAATTTAATTATTTATTCATTCATTCATTCATACATACATACATACATACAGGTTTCCCCATCCACGCTGGAAGGCTCCCTACAGAATATTAAAAACACGATAAAAGATCAAGCATTAAAAACGTCCCTAAACAGGGCTGCCTTGAGATGTCTTCTAAAAGTTTATTTCCTTGGCAGGGCGTTCCACAGAGTGGGCGCCACTACCGAGAAGGCCCTCTGTCTGGTTCCCTTCACTGCTCAAAGTGAGCGAACCGCCAGAAGGCCCTCGGAGCTAGATCTCAGTGACGGGAGTAGAGAGGCTGCTTCAGGTATACTGGGCCTTTCTGCCCAACCCTCTTATCAGTTTCAACATAAGAGACAAGCATGTTTAAAAATTTGCTTTGGTCTATCACAAGTGAGCAATAACAACGGACAAAATAATAAGAGGCATGTCTAGATCTGTCTAAGGTGCTCTCAGTAACACAGAGTGTGGGATTGTTTCTTCCTAACTGTAGTTAGGGAGAAAAGCAAGGAAGTGGTCCCAATGTTTGCAACTTATGAGAATGTAAATAGCTCAGAAGCAAATTGGTTTACGCAGAAACAACAAGGGATCCGAATCCATCTACCTGCATTTGTGATTGCCCAACAGATATAGAATTGACTAACACCCGAGAATACAGCATGCCCCTGCAGTTACTGAATTGTCCTTGTTCTTCCCACGGCGTGAGCTACTTACCGGTCTCAGCACCCGTAGGACTTCTTTCATAACTTGCTCCGGGCTCTTCACAGAGCATAGCACCAGCGTTGAAACCACCACATCCACCGATGCAGCTGGTACCTGGTGCAGGTCCTCAGCCGGAGCCACCAAACAGCGTTCCACCTGCACGTGTGGATTTTCAGCCAGGCTCTTGTTGAGAAACTTCTGGAAGTTGGGGTTCGGATCAGTGCATATGATTTTGCATCCCACGGGGTAGAACTGAAAGTTGGAGCCAGTTCCTGTGCCAATCTCCAGCAGTGTGAGGGCCCCCGTAGGACTGGCAAAGTCTTTCAGGTTGCTGAACATTTCCCTTTTCTTGTCGGACATCTGCTTATTATAACTGATTGCCATCACAGACATGAAGTAGGGGAATAACTTCTTGCAAAGGGGTTCCCAGATACCCAGATACCACAGCAAGTAAGCAGGGAAGGCTAATATCTGGACGCATAACCTGAGCAGGACAACGAGGCATGTTGCTTCCATGTTAGCAGGTGGGGCTTGTTATTATCTGTTGCTTCCAGTCCTCAAAGATCTCAAAGGGTGGAAAGAAATATTGTTAATAAACTCCACACACACACAAACTCACCAATAAAATTGTTTGTGCATGCCCTTGTAATCTTGCCCGTCAGAGGAACTTAAAAACTGTATTTGCTGTCTTTAAGAGGGAAATAATCTCATTTAGGGGGTATTCTTATACTTCATTGCAGCAGTGTACTCCGCGGTCCTGTAGTAACCCAAAGTGACTGTTGGTTTAAATTTGTTACAAGCTTTTCCTAAATATAAGGGGGAACCTTTTTCCCATGGCAAAAGTCTTTCACACCAAAACTGCGCTGAAAAATGTTGGAGTGGAAGGATTTGAAACTAGTCTTCAGTGGTATATTTGCTTCCCTTGTGGGTTTTTTTGTCTCAAGCAGCTGCAGACTTGAGCAGCACAGTCCTGCCCTGCAAATGCTTTACTTTTATTCGCTCTAGCTGTTCTTTTGGTCTCTCTATGGCAGGAGAGACATGGGCACCTGATGGTTTTTATTACCTACTTTAGGTTAATTATAAATCTCCCTAGCCAGTGCAGAAGATGAGAATATAGGCATATGGCAATCTTTTCAGAACAACTGGGCCCTGTAGCAGGATCAGTGCTGGATTTAAGGTAAAGGGACCCCTGACCATTAGGTCCAGTCGTGACCGACTCTGGGATTGCGGCGCTCATCTTGCTTTATTGGCCGAGGGAGCCGGCGTACAGCTTCCGGGTCATGTGGCCAGCATGACTAAGCCGCTTCTGGCGAACCAGAGCAGCGCACGGAAATGCTGTTCACCTTCCCGCCAGAGCGGTACCTATTTATCTACTTGCACTTTGATGTGCTTTTGAACTGCTAGGTTGGCAGGAGCAGGGACCGAGCAATGGGAGCTCACCCTGTCGCGGGGATTCGAACCTCCGACCTTCTGATCGGCAAGTCCTAGACTCTGTGGTTTAACCCACAGCGCCACCTGCGTCCCTGTGCTGGAATTATGTGTAAGCTAAACAAGCTATAGCTTAGGACCCTACTCTCTTGGGGGCCCCCAAAAATTTTACAGGGAAAAAACCTGGATGCACATTTCCAAAATGTAAGATAAAAAAAATAAAAATAAAACCTACATAAAGCAACAGTGTTTTGTGTTGTGTAGGCACCTGTGATGAAAATAATGGGCCCCGCCTGTTACCTAAAATATCACTGGTTTGCTCGTTTCTATATATAGGGTGCCTACAATCTGCTATTTATAATTAGTAGTTTGCATCATATATTTACACCTATTATTATTTCTTGTTATAGCAAGTTTCTAGAGACTAGATTATGAGTCTTTGTAAATTGTGCTTCTAAAGGAACTTTTGTTATTGCCAAATGCCAATGTGTTTGCATTATTAAGTTTGTTATGAATAAAAAATAATTTAAAGTTAGAGGTTAATAATTATTTCACTATTAATGTACTTGTTAATTGCATTTCAGTTCAACAATTACTTTGATAAAATACATATTTTGTTATGTGCAAATGGCTTTGGATACCTATTAGGTCTATAAATTACCATATAGCATATATTCAAAACACAGAAACAGTGACAATTTGTTGTTGACAAAGGACAAGTGGACCTATAAAGGGCCCCATTATCTTCAGTAACTTAGGACCTCATCAAACCTAAATCCGGCCCTGAGCAGGATGTGTATCCTGCTCAGGGATCCTGTGTGTATCCTGTGTGGGGATTTTCTGTGTGAAGGGGCCATCAGTGCCAGAGCAGTTAGGTTTTTTTGTGGGGGTCAATGTGGGGTGTATGGGGTTGCAGTGTGTGGCATGGCGGTTAGGGGCTTGCAGTGCAGAATACATGCATAGTTGCCCCAATCTGAACTTTTTAGTTTACTACTTTTTAGTTTACTACTACATCTGCGCAGTTGACATGATTCACCAAGGGGCATATTTTATATTAAAAGCAATCTCAAACAGCAGAGGAATATTTGAGGTCACTGGGAGAGTCAAAATGGCTTCAGGATTGCTCTCCTGTACTACCTCAGACACATGGCTTATATATTTAGATATATGAGCATTTATGAATATTTATTCTGTATTTGAGACCTTAGAATTCTTATACAGTAACACTATCCCTGACTTTGCACTCTGCTTGCTTCTAGATCAGTTCTACCAACCACCACCTTACCTTTGGTACTGTGGCAAATTCTCACAGCTGCTTGCACATCTGTAATGTTGCTGCCTGAATCAGCCCCTTTATACTCTTCCTCTTTTATTTCATGCAATAAACCAATGGTTCTTTATTCATCCTAGTGTGTTCATCTTGTGGCACAGGCATCTCGCAAGGATACATTATTTAGACTAGCATCAGATAAAAAAAGATATTTGGTACTGTATTAAGTTCTGTTTCTCTCTTTATAAACTCTAATAAAATTTATTTTAAAAAATATAAACTGTGTGGAGATTTTTGTTATTGTTACCGTGCTATGTATTTTTGTGTCTTTATATTGTAAACTGCCCAGTGATCCTTGGATGAAGGGTGGTGTAGAAATTTAATTTTTTAAATAAATAAAATTAGGAAGCCAGTGGAACCAATTCAAAATCCCTTTCAAAGCTGTTATTATTAAGTCTGTGAAACCCTCTACTGCCAACACAGCTGTTAGAAGCAAAGATCACCAGTGTTGAAACGATGATTCTTCAAAATCAACTTCGTTGGACTGGTCATGAGGGAGCTCATAATAGCAGGGCTGCATTAGTTGGTTTTTTTTTGGGGGGGGGGAGGGGAGTTTCCTCCCCTTGTTGTGATCCTGATGAAAATGGCTCGTAAGGCCATTTGCCTTAGGAGGAAACTGCCCACCAGCACCTACGTATCAGCTTCAAGTTTAAGCCTGGTCTGTGATTGCCACAGGTTTTGCAAAACAGGGAAGAGCACCAGTGACTGAGTTGTTAGGCATAAAATTTTACAGGAAAGCACTAGGTTTATGCCTCTTCTCCCAAAGACTGGACCTCCCTTTTAGACTTAGCATCCTGTGTCTTGGGGGAATTTTCCAGATCACCAGGTCCTCCCTTCGCCCTCAAACATGCATCCCAATTTGTTTGCAGGAGGAATATAAAATGTTGCGTCATTCCACACTTCCCAGTGCATGATAGTGCGAAAGTCTGACCTTTGGGGGGAAGCAGGTTTGTTGTGTAAGAGCTGTGCAAACAGCTGCTGTTGCACAACCTGAATTGGCCAAAGTGCAATTATTATTATTACTTATTGAATTACTGCCGGGTATACTGCAATATATATATATATCGGATGTTTTCATATATCTATTATCTATATGAGAAAACATCCAGACATCCCTCTGCCTTTATGAACAAGGAGGGGAGATCCGATCACAATTCCTTGCATGGCATTTGCACTGGCTCTGCTATTAGGAGCTTTTTCTATGGAAGGACCTGTTTGTTTAGGTTTACATCCCCGTTTCTTGGGGCAGTTTAGAATCTGCGCGAACATACATTGACCCTTATTTATTTATTTATTTATTTATTTAAAAAAGGTAAACAGAACGCAACGTGTTAACGCGTCGGTAACTTGATGCGCATATCCGGATTATGAATTCGTACATTTGACGCCCAAACCTCACCGTTTCCAGGAGGCGTTGAAAACGGCCAACCTTTCCCTTGCCCAGCGGCGAAGGAAACGAGGGGAAGCTGGGGCACCGCTTGGAGGCGCCACTGCGATGTACGACTGCTGTGTCACCTCAGGAAGGCGGAGGCGGCGAAGGCCGCCCTCGCCTCTACCCTTCTGCCTTGAGCCGAGAAAGAGCCGGGAAAAACCCGACGGGCGAGAGACGTTGAGCACGACCTCTCCCGACCATCTCGGAGGAAGGGGCCGGAGCCAGGGCCCTCAGCCGCCGACCAAGGGCCGCCAGCAAAGCGGCGCCTCAGCCGCCCCCCCCCCGACGGCCAACCCGTCGCCTCACGTTCAAATCAAGCGCGCGCGCGCAGAGAGAGGCAACGGCCGCTCCTGGAAGGGGCAGGGCTGGATGTCAGCTGAAATAGTTCCCACCTGAAAGCTGCCTTAGCTTCTGCATGAGCTTCCTCCCTTTTGCTGATGTCTCCTCATCGCTATACGCACACACCGTTTGAATGGCAATGCCCATCAACTTGGGGTTGTGGGGCTCAAATATGCCTCCCTGTGCCTCCCACTCGCTGGTCTGAGCACTCTTTGGACTTCGCTGAGGACATAGCTGTCAACTTTCAGATTTTGAAAATAAGGATCAGCAGCCTCACCTGTCCCAGGGAGCCTCAAAAATAAGGGATCAGCAGCCTCACCTGTCCCAGGGACAGTCTACGGGTTATCTAAGGGAGCGGGAAGCAGTGGGGAAACAGTGCTGAAATAAGGGAATTTCCCACAAAAAAGGGAAGGTTGACAGCTATGGCTGAGGATGGCCGTGACGTTGGTCGCCAAGCACAGGTCCACCGTGTGCACGACCAAGTCCCATGGAGCCTTGGGAACGGCACACATCCTCTCCGGGGGGTGACAATGAAGCCCTCAAAGCACAGGTGCTGGTTCTTTGGGGACGCTCTCAGGAGATACCTCCCAAAGTTGGGTTTGGGGTCGCTGCAGGTGATAGTCCGGCAAGCCCGGTGGTAGAAACAATGGTTTTAGACAGTGGTTCTCAACCAGAGTACCGGGGCACCCTGGGGTGCTTTGAATGATAGGGGTAAAGGTAAAGGGACCCCTGACCATTAGGTCCAGTCATGGCCGACTCTGGGGTTGCGGCGCTCATCTCGCTTTATTCCCCGAGGGAGCCGGCGTACAGCTTCCGGGTTATGTGGCCAGCATGACTAAGCCACTTCTGGCAAACCAGAGCAGCACACGGAAACACTGTTTGCCTTCCCACCAGAGCGTACCTAGTTATCTATTTGCAATTTGACGTGCTTTCGAACTGCTAGGTTGGCAGGAGCAGGGGACGAGCAACGGGAGCTCACCCCGTTGCGGGGATTCGAACTGCCATCCTTCTGATCGGCAAGTCCTAGGCTCTGTAGTTCAACCCACAGCGCCACCTGCGTCCTAATGATAGGGGTACTGTGCACAATACTTGCCTCTGTCCCTTTCCTCCCTTCTTTCCCTCCTCTGATGCCTTCTGTACCTCCCAAAGGCTTGTGTGACACAGGGTGGTTCACAGAACAAAATCAAAATATAAAACCACAATATATGTAATCAAAATAAAAACAACAACCCAATAACACCCCTCCCCACAAGAACCACGTTTTAAAAGGGCATAGGATCTCAGTCAACAACAACAAAAGGCCTGGTTAAAAAGGAACGTTTTTGCCTGGCCCCTAGGCAAACTTCCCTGGGGGAGCATTCCACAGATGGGGCGCCACTGCAGAGAAGGCCTGTTCTCAGGTCGCCACCCTCTGCACCTCTTGAGGAGGAGGTACACAAAGGAGGGCCTCAGAAGATTGATAACAGGGTCCTGGTAAAGACGGTCCCTGAGGTATTGCCGGGTCCTGAGCCATTTAAGGCTTTACAGTACAGTGGTACCACTGGTTAAGAAGCTTAATTCGTTCCGGAGGTCCGTTCTTAACCTGAAACTGTGCTTAACCTGAAGCACCACTTTAGCTAATGGGGCCTCCCGCTGCTGCTGTGCGATTTCTGTTCTCATCTTGAAACAAAGTTCTTAAACCAGAGGTACCTATTTCTGGGTTAGCGGAGTCTGTAACCTGAAGCGTCTTTAACCTGAAGTACCACTGTATAGGTTAAAACCAGCACTTTGAATTGAGCCCAGAAACTAATTGGTAGCCAGTGCAGTTGGACCAGGATTTGTGTAATATGCTCAAACAGTCTTGCCGGGTTAGCAACCTGGCCCCAGAATTCTGCACTGGCTGAAGTTTCCAAACTGTCTTCAGAGACAACCCTACATATACAGTGGTGCCTCGCAAGACGGAAAACCCGCTAGACGAAAGGGTTTTCCGTTTTGGAGGTGCTTCACAAAACGAATTTCCTATCGGCTTGCTTTGCAAGACGAAAATGTCTTGCGAGTTCCTGCAGGGTTTTTTTCCTCCCCCCCTTTTCCCCAAGCCGCTAAGCCGCTTATCAGCTGATCCGCTAAGCCGCTTAACAGCTGATCCGCTAAGCCGCTTAACAGCTGATCCGCTAAGCCGCTTAACAGCTGATCCGCTAAGCCGCTTATCAGCTGATCCGCTAAGCCGCTTATCAGCTGATCCGCTAAGCCGCTTAACAGCTGATCGCTAAGCCGCTTAACAGCTGATCGCTAAGCCGCTTATCAGCTGATCCGCTAAGCCGCTTATCAGCTGATCCGCTAAGCCGCTTATCAGCTGATCCGCTAAGCCGCTTATCAGCTGATCCGCTAAGCCGCTTAACAGCTGATCGCTAAGCCGCTTATCAGCTGATCCGCTCATCCGCTAATGGGCTTGCTTCGCAAGACGAAAAAAACCGCAAGACGAAGAGACTCGCGGAACGGATTCTTTTCGTCTTGCGAGGCACCACTGTAAGGCATTGCAGTAATCTAACCTTAAGGTTACGAGAGCCTAGACAACAGTAGTTAGGCCACCCCTGTCCAGATAGGGATGTAGCTGGGCCACCAGCCAAAGCTGATGGAAGGCACTTTGGGCCACTGAGGCCACCTGAGCCTCGAGCAACAGCAAGGATGCAGGAGTACCCCCAAGCTACAAACCTACTCCTTCAGAGGAAGTGTAACCCATCAAGAGCAGGTGACCTCCCCTTCATCTGATCTAGGGAACCGCCCACTCACATTGCCTCTGCCTTATCTGGACTGAGCTTCAGTCTGCTCTTACTGTCACTAGGCTAATCTGTTAGGTTCTTTTCCTACCATC